ATATAAAAGGGACCTAAGGGGCAACTTTTTCATGTAGAGAATGGTGTGTATATGGAATGAGCGGCCAGAGTAAGTGGTGGAGGCTGGCACCTGGATGAGTATGCGAATAGGAAGGGTTTGGAGGGAAATGGGCGAAATGTTGGCAAATGGGACCGTATTTATATAGATATCTGATCGGCACGGATGAGTTGGACTGAAGGGTCTGTTTCCGTGCTGTACATCTCGATGACTCTAAATCGTGTCTCAATGGCTCGATGGAGTTTTTTGAAGAGGTGACAAAGAAGATTCACGAAGGCACAGCAGTAGACATTGTCCATATGGACTTCAGCAAAGCATCTGAAAAGGTTCCATATGGTAGACTGGTTAGTAAGGTTAGATCCAGAGGAAGCTAGTGAATTCGATACAAAATTGGCTTGAAGGTAGAAGACATAGGGTGGTGGTAGAAAGTTGCTTTTTGGAATGGAGGCCTGTGGCCAGTGGTGTGCCACAAGGATTGGTGCTGGGTTCACTGCTTTTCGTCATTATATAAATGATTTGCATGTGAATATAGGAGGAATGGTTAGTAAGTTTGCAAGTTACACCAAGATAAATGGTGTAGTGGACAGTGAAGAAGGTTATCTCAGAGTACAACTGGAACTTGATCAGATGGGCCAATGGGCTGACGGATAGCCAATGGAGTTTTATTTAGATAAATGTACGTGTTGCATTTTGGTAAGTCAAATCAGGGCAGGACTTATACAGTTAATGGTAAGGCCATGGGAAGTGTTGGTGAACAAAGAGACCTAGGGGTGATGTGCATTGTTCCTTGAAAGTGGAGTCACAGGTAGACGGGGTGGTGAAGAAGCTGTTTGGCACACTTGTCCTCACTGGTCGGAACACTGAGTACAGGACTTGGGATGGCATGTTGTGGCTGTACAGGACATTGGTGAGGCCACTTTTAGAAGAACACTGTTAAATATGAGAGGGTGCAGAAAAGATTTACAAGGTTATTGCTGGGACTGGATGATTTGAATTATAGGGAGAGGCTGAATAGGTTTGGGCTTTTTTCTTCCTGGAGCATTGGAGGCTGAGGAGTGACCTTACATAGAGATTTATAAAATGAGGGGCACGGATAGGGTGAATAGCTAAGGTCTTTTTCCCAGAACAGGGGAGTCCAAAACTAGAGGGCATAGGTTTAAGGTGAAAGGGGAATGATTTTAAAAGGACCTGAAGGGTAACTTTTTCACACAAAGGGTTGTGTCCATATGTAACGAGCTGCCAGAGGAAATACTGAAGGTGGGTACAATTACAACATTAAAAGGCATCTGGATGGATACATGAATAGGAAGGGTGCAGCTATGTTCTGTCCATAGAAATGGAACAAACCCAATCCACATAATTACCATCCCTTCAACAAAATAATGGGAAGTATCATCAGTAGTGCTATCAAGTGGAACCTATTCACTAACAATCCATGCTGATCCTCAGTTTGGGCTCCACCAAAGTCATGGCTCCAGGCCTCACTGCAACTTTAATCTGCACATGGAAGGAAGCACTGAATTCCTGAGCTGAAGTGCAATTCACTACATTTGATGTCAAACATTTGACCAAGCACGGCACCAAGGAAACTGAAGGTAATATGAGTCAGAGGGACACTTCCCAGTATTTCACCATTATTATTCCACACCAACACCATTAAAATAGAACAGTTAATAACTTGTCACTTTTTTTGAGGGACCTTGCCATGTGCGGTTTAATTGCCTCATTTCCTTACAATACAAAAGCAACTTCAAAAGTAATTAACTGGCAGCAACAAGGTTTGGCATGTTCAGAAATCATGAAAGGGGTTATACAACTTCTTTCTCTGCCATCCAACAAATTTCAAAAGAATTTAACAAAGAAGCAAATTAACAGGAACTAAGGCCTTGATACCAAAAGTACCAGTTTCTAGTGATACATCATCAGATAGTAGCAAAAACAAAGCACATATTAAGTCAAATCGGCAACGTGGATGAAATGCACAGGAATTTCAATTTATACAGTAGCCAAAATGTGGAGTGGAAAGTTTTGAAAACAGTTCTAATGAAAAGGATAGGACACAAGAAGACAGATTTATGCTGAACTAGCCTGTGTGACTGATGAAATGAAAGCTGATGATCATTTTCAAACATAAAGCCACACTAAACACCAAGTTCCTTGCAGGTGTTTCTATGCATATGCATGAGAATGTTTGATGAGGTGAAGTTATGGATTGGTAGAATGTGGAATACGCCTCCCAGCGGCCTATATAAAGAATGCCCCTTATTAGTGTGTGACATGTTCAGATCCCACACAAGTGACATGAACAAGAAGTGTTTGTGAAGAAATAATACATTGACTGCAGCTAAACCAATGGATTTAACATACTGAGTTCAACCTTGGGATGCACACCTCAACAAGTCATTCAAGGGTTATGTTCACAGTGAAGAAAATAGGTGGATGATTGAGGTGCGGTAAAACCTTCACAGAGAAGAAATAAGTGTGCTGGTTGAGGTTTTGTGTGGTTTCATTATCAATTTTTCGGATGTGATTACTGCATCATATGTTATCACATTATTAAAAAAAATGCAAAATATTTGATTCAATGGATGAAGAGGAAGATGGTTTGGTAAGGAGAGATGATTCTGAGAGTTAAAGGTTGACAACTGATCCACAGGGGGATGCTCACAATAACACCACAACCAAAATGAATTTGACTGTGGTCAACTGTGTTGGATGCAGAAGACAATGAATTGGGTGATTTTTAAAAGTTTCAATTGAGATTAAAGATATTTTTGTATCACTAAATCATTATATAAATCATGTGGTATTACTTCAATCCAAATTACCAGTATTTCAAAATGGTGACCACACACAACAGTGGTTCACACTTTATACTTGGTGCAAGTTGTATTGGAAGGATTTTTGGAAGCTTCAAAGGTCAACTAATAGGTCATGGTCTGCAGTATTAATGCAGTCGGTCAAAAGCTTTATCAAGAAGGTGGGATTCAACGAATCTCTTCAAGAAATCAAATCAGAAAGGTGAAGAGATTAAGTAAGGGAATTCCAGAGTTTATGGCCTAGACCATGCACTCAGAATTAAGTACTTACATGATGAAATTGATATGTACCTGTAATAGCTAATTGGTTTCTAATTTTAGTATAATTTTAAAATTCAATTTTATTTATCTTGTAATATCCTGTTTAATACATTCCTGTTGTTTGCTGAAATCTGTCTCTTTACTTCTGTTGTCATACGATTATTACGTTATTAACCCGATTACATACCATTATATGACTATTTCGATGCAATTACACTGCAATTCAACCTTCGAGCTGCAAACATGTTTTGTGAATATTTCATTTCGTTATTATAAGCAGCTGAAAGCTTGTCTAATGACAGAGCAACTAAATTTGAGGATGGTCAAGAGGACAGAACTAGAGGAGTACAGACATCTTTGGATGGCTGGGCAGTATAGGAGATCACAGAGGTAACAAGGAACCAGGCTGTGGAGGGACTGGACTGGAAAATAAGAATTATTTTAAAGTAAAAAGGCAATACTTTAGTAATCTGTATTGCAGACATACAAATTAAGAATTCGAATGGATTGTTCAAATTACATTTTTGAGGACTTCAGCAGCAGTCGGTACAGGACAGAAAATGAAACTTGCAACTCACCAGCCTAGCCTGAATTCAAATCTGGATTCAGAGCATGTAAAAATATTTACAATACAATTTCACTGATAACTATGGGATTCCACTTGTAAGCTGCATTCACCTCAAAGTAAAAGGAAATTCAATTTTCATTGAAAATTATTTCAGAAATATAAATATCAGCAAGCCCTGAAGAGAATCACGTATCATGCTCTTGAGCGCCCACCTTTACAATGAACACAAAATCATGTAGAGGTACGCCTGAATGAATACCAGTGAATTTTATTAAATTAACCAATTTACAGGTAGTGTAAAAATGACTTACATCCATTCAATTAAATTTTTGGATTTTTTTCTCACAAGACGAATCCCATCGAGTACATTGGTGATATCGTAAACCCTTCGCTTTCGCACCCCAAGCATCTTTGCAATATCATTCATGTCAAGGACGCCATCAGGTGCCTCCTTCACAAGTTCCATAAATTGTTGTGTTAGATGCACTAGGGACACATCAAAACGTGGTTTTTTTGCTGTTACAAAACAGGAAAACAACATTAACCTTCAATCTTAAAAACAGAAATGCTGGCATTATTGAAATAAAATTCAATAAAAATGCAACTGAAATGTGTAATGGATGTATGAATAATAGAAAAATAGAGAATCGTATTGCCAATACTCATAAAACCTACTCCAAAAATGCCATTTAGAAATAGTATGTTAATATTGTGGAACTAAGATGTTTGATTTATACTTGTTATTTTAGTAATTTTACACTTTGGGCAGACAGTATAACAATTTGCAATTTTCATTTATTTCCTAACCCTAAACTTTAGCAAAGCAAAATGTCCCAAAGAGTGTCAAATGTATGTTATGAAAGCAAATTTGATATGAGTCAGATAAGGAAATATTAGGGCAGTTAACTAGAAGCTTGGTCAGAGCAACAGGTTTTATGGAGCATTTTAGAGGACAGGGGCACTAAGGTTGAAAGGTTATGCCACAAAATTACAGAATCAGGGTCTATGTAGTCAAAAGACAAGGCTGCTAATAGTAATGTGAATGAAACTAGCAATGCACAAGCTTTAAGAATCAGTGGAGTGCAGGGATTTCAGAACTTTGTTCTGAGAATAAGTACCAGGTACTATATGCTAAAATAAAACATTGTTGTGAAGGCGATAATCTAAACTAATACATGAACCACATGCAAAATTAGCCTAGTAGATTAGAAGCAAATGAGCAGATTGAGTTGGTGAACGGGTAGTTAAAGGGTGTGGGAATCTATTACTTCACAGCGGCTTCCTGGGGCCATATATGTACCTGTGATGACAGTTTTAAATCCTTGCGTATTTTGGTCTTTTAAAACAAAACAATCTGCATTGACATGGCAGCATGTGTTCCATTTTCATGGGACACCTGCACTGGTACTGGGTCAGGAAATGAATGTGTGGTTTGGACAGGAATCAAAATAAAATCCATTGCTCGGACTAAACAATGAAAGTGTAAATGATCATTTCAACAGTTTGTTGCAACATAACATTTAGGACATCCTTTCTCATCCACTGCCAAAATTATATTGTATTGTGCTAAATGTGTTTCTGACAGGCCATTAAATATTGCTGGAAATGACATGTAAAGTTAGCAGTAGGCATTGTAATTTGTTTTGTGTGCATTCTAGAAAATAATTTGCTTTCATGCAAATGAAATAAATTCAAGCAAGCATAAAATTCCTGACAATTAAGTTAAGTGGAATACATTACATTTTGACAACCTAACAAATTGTTAAAACATGGTATAGACCTGTGTCGAATTAAAACTAAGCCGCAAGTGAATCAGAATTACTAGAGGTAATTGTTGTTAGTAAACATTGAAGTGTACTCCCACGTCCAGGCCCGATACATTGCAGAAGACAAATATCCAAACAAAATTTGTTATTTATTCATACATTCCTTTAGCCCAGACCCCTTCCCATACTCTGACTTCCGTTTAACTCCCTTTGTAATGAATTTCGATGGAAACCTATTCTTGCCAAGATTCGAAGGCACGGTGGAGTAAACATTGGTAAACAGTGTCCTGCACACGTGCACGCGGATCCCTCTTTCTTTAAAAAAAACATAAAAACGATTTGGATTTATTCAGTTTGGGAAGGGTGGATATTTTTTCAGGGGGGAAAGAAACAGAAAAGGTTGTCCGGGTGATCTCTAATGAAGCTGATCGAGGCCCTAGGAAGAAGCAGTGCCATCTTGATGCTGTGGAAGGACTGGGAGTGTTACCATGTAAACACAGGGGGGACGGGAGGGTGTGTGTGTGAGTGTGAGAGAGAGAAGGGGGGGACTTGGAGATAGACAAAGACAGTTAAACAGACAGATGAGAGCCTGGTGTCAGGGCTCAATCAGACTCACTGTATCTGGGCGCTGAGGTTACCCGGGGGCTGCTCTCGTCCTCCATTGCTGGGGGCTAGGGGAGCGGCGGTGATGTTTGTTAATGTCTCACCCCCTTCCCCCACCCCTGGCACTGCCAATCCTACACCGAACTGCTCTGAGGCGAAACTGCCCCACTTCCCACCCGCCCTCTCTCTCCTTTCCTCCTCCACTCCTATCTTTCTGTTCCTCTCCTGCTATTCCCCCGCCACTCACAACAACACGCTGCCACGCATGCCCAGAAGGTGTCACGGCGCATGCGCCAACCGGCCTGCGGTCGGCATTCCGACGCATGCGCCAGCCGACAGCTGCCAGCCTTGTTTGTCTTTCCCGCCCGACCTACAAAACCCGCCCCCGCTATGAATATTGATGAGTAGAACGCGGGCCCTGGACCGTGGCACCGCCTCCACAGGTGAATGACGTGCCTACATCACACACCAGGCTTTGTGACGTTGGGTTGAAGTATCGTCTGAGCGGCAGTAATACTCGCCGGGCGCGGTGGCGTGCGCCTGTAATCCGGCGACTCGGAGGCTAAGGCTATCGGATTGCTTGAGATCAGGAGTTCTGGGCTGTTGCGGACTATGCCGATCAGGTGTCCTCACTAAGTTGGGTATCGATATGGTGTGCCCGGAGGAATCCGGGATCACCAGGTCGGGTAAAGAGGGGTGAATCGGCCCAGGTCGGAAACGGAGCAGGTCAAAGCCCCCGTGCCCATCAGTAGTCGGATCGCGCCTGTGAGTAGACGCTGCAGTGCAGCCTGGTTAACACAGTGAAACATAGTCTTTTCTCAAAACTGCTTTTGGCATTTTTCATTCTCTTATTAAAATTATCATTACTTCAACATTACTACACTTCAACTGCACTAAATACAGAGCTTATATTCAAAATAATGCATAATAGGACCATTAGAAAATACACATCAAAGTCTAAGATTCAAACTCCATTCCCACCTATATTTTCATTAGCTCTGATTTTTATTGCTCTAATTCACACTGATTATATTTGTTGAATTGACTATTCCGAATGATCGTAATAATTTTGTATCACGTGTAAAAAGGATGGGTATTTCTGAATAAAATAACACATTTTTAGTCTGTTTAAACCGGTTTACATGTTTCGACGTTACTGCTCTCTGCTGTTCTCTCGTTTTATTACAGCAGAAAAAGTTGATATTAGAGCTGTTATACTGGCAGTGATCCTCAGGGACCGCTAACTTTACATTGCAGTCAGCACAGAGGGGGCCAATCTGCAACTAATTAAACATCTTAAATTTAGGGATCCAAATTGTATATTAAAGATCTCGTCTCCTTTAGTAATAAATAGAAAATTGTTAGAAAACAAAACAAAGAAATCAATAAAAACAAAAATGACTTGAAATCAAGCTGAATTAATCTTTTCTACAATCTAAATCAAGCAATTCTATCTAGAACTAAATCATTACTAGCTAGTAAATAAAAGCTTGACATGGCAATGTGTCAGGACTGTGATATGTGGGAACTTGTGGGCAGTGAGATTTCTCTGTCACATATGCATTGAGAGACTCCAGCAGAAATTCTGACGCAAGAGAGGAAGGGAGGTTCTGGCTAGTTTTCCATAGAGTGTAGCCATGTCTCAGAAAGTGCCAGCCAGCAGAGTAAGATGAACCTAGTTGAGATAGAAGAAGAGGAAGTCTTGCACAACAGATAAAATGTAGTTGACACTCTGAGGCTAACGTGAACATTGCTGGCAGGAACCATAGTCCCAAACTAGGCACTGTAGAACAGGATGCCATCCAAAGAGCAGAAGGTCAGAATAGAAATGTAGCAGTAATAAGGTATTCAATAATTAAGGGGTGGAGTGTATTCACTGTTAGGACTTAGATGATGAGGAATTTGTTATATGTATTCAAGAACATTTTCTTTATCGATGTGTATGTACCTACTAGAGAAGGAGCAAAACATGACCTTCTGTTGGGAAATAAGGCAGAGCAAGTGACTGAAGTGTTACTGGGGGAGCACTTTGGGACCAGTGATCACAGTTCTATTTGTTTTAAAATAGTTTTAAAATAGTTACAGAAAAGGATTGGCCTTTTATAAAAATTAAAGTTATTAATTGGAATAAAGCAAATTTTGATGGTATGAGACAGGAATTTTCAAGAATTGATTGGAGTAGACTGTTCACAGGTAAAGGGATGACTGACAAATGGGAGGCTTTCAAAAGTGAGATAACAAGAGTTCAGAGGCATTATTGTTTCAGAGATAGTAGGAACTGCAGATGCTGGAGAACCTGAGATAACAAGAGAAGGGTCTAGGTCCGAAACGTCAGCTTTCCTGTTCCTCTGAAGCTGCTTGGCCTGCTGTGTTCATCCAGCTCTACAACTTGTTATTTCAGAGGCATTATGTTCCTTTTAGAGTGAAAAGTTAGGGTGGTAAGAGTATGGAACAATGGATGAATAAAGATATTTGGCTCTAGTCATGTTTAGGAAGGAGTCATATATTAGGTATAGACAATTGAGATCAAGTGAATCTCTAGAAGAGTATAAGGGTTGTAGGGGCATTCTTAAGAGGAAAATCAGGAGGGCATAAAGGGAGTATGAGATAGCCTTGGCAGATAAGGCTGAAGATAGTCCAAAGAGATCCTACAAGTAAATTCACAGCAAAAGAACAACTAGGGAGAGAAAAGGGCCCCTTTAAGATCAACAAGATTGTCTATGCATGGAACCACAGGAGATGGAAGAGATACAAAACAAATATTTAGCATCAGTTTTTACTATGGAGAAGGAATTAGAGACTAGGAAACTCAGGAAAATAAATATTGATGTCTTGGTTTCAGCAAAGGCAAGGGCAAGGTCATCCATCTTAAACCGACTGAAAATAATGGATCTGATTATTGCTAAAGTGATGAAAAACTAGGAACAGTGGAGGTCCAAAGAGATCTATATACACTCCTCAATAAATTAGGGTCAGCAAGGACAAAAAAATTCAAATGTTATATTTTATAGCTAGAGCTGTAGAATATAAAAGAGCAGAAGTTGAACTGTATCTCTACAAAGCCTTGGTTAGACCACACCTGGAGTACCATGTGCAATTCTTAACGTCATACCTCGGGAAGAATTTAGCTTCAGAAAGATGTTTAAAATGATGAAGACTTTACAAAGAGTTAATAACGGGGAAACTTTTTTCAGTGACTGAAGGCTTAACAATTAGAGGACACAAATTTGTGCAGATTCAGCAGAATCTTGTCAGGGCTCCAAGGGTTAAATTATGAAGTACGCTTAGATAGACTAGACTTGTATTCCCAAGAATATATTAGGTCAAGCCGGTGAGTGCATTCAGGTTTTAGTGATTTTGAAAGGAAAGGAGGACATAGATAGAGAGAATCATTCCCCTTGGTGGGTAAGGACATAATCTCAAAATTGGAGCTGGGGCATTCGCAAGAGAAATTAGAAAGCATTTCTACCTGGTAGGGTGTTAGAAATGTGGTATTTGGTCCTTTATTACTAGTTAAATTGGAGATAATGGGTTTTTGCCAGACAATGGTATAACACGATACGGAGTCAAGTCAGGTGGATGGAATTCTGAAACTGGTCCAAGTTGTTGAATGACCTACTACTGTTGCTATATGGCAACAACAAACCAGGCTGTATTAGATTTAGTTGTGATGTGAGCAATGAGACTGAATTAGTTAAGAATTTAACAGTAAGGCAACACCTAATTAACAATGACCATAACATGATTGAATTAGATATTAGGTTTGAGAGGAAAAAGATTAAGTCACAAATTAAGATTTTAAATTTAGGTGAGGCTGACTTTAAGGGATGCAGTAGAAATTGACCACGGTAGATTGGACAGAGCTACTAGTGGATAAAATCATGGATGATTCATAGGACATTACAAGATATTTTCATAACCTAAGGAGAGGAGACATAAAACTGAAAGAACTGCAGATGCTGTAAATCAGGAACAAAAACAGAAGTTGCTGGAAAAGCTCCGCAGGTCTGGCAGCATCTGTGAAGAAAAATCAGTTAATGTTTTGGGTCCGGTGACACTTCCTCAGCACTTCTGAGGTGTCAAGGAAGTCCTGTCTAGCTTGTAGTGCCTGATGTTGCTGTGTTCTATCATGCTGAAGGTGATGCTTCGCTGCTCAATGGTCTCATCTTTATCCTTGGAAGACTGCTGCCGTTCTCCCAGCTCTTCAGTCTCCATCACATCCTCTATTTGTCTGCTCCAGGTAAGCATGCAGTACATTCAGTTTGGACGATACTGTAAGGTTAGACCCTGGACCGATGCAAGCATTAGAACCTCGTCCTTAAGAGGCCTAACATCTGCTCCATTATGGTCCTGGTTGAATAATGGGTTTCATTGCACCGGATTTGGGCGTTGCATGACAAAGTCATCAGCCATGGATGTACAACGTAGCCTTTGTCTCCCAGTGATCATGCTTATAAGGCATTGACCCTAGAAGTGAAACAGGAACATATGGATTCTCAAGGATATAGGCATCGTGGCAGCTTCCAGATGGATACCTGATGCAGACCTCTAATGTTTAGTAGCCATGATGACAAATGACATACACATTGGTGCAGTTTTCTATTGATGAACAGTCTATCATGCCCTGCCCCTGAGTAAAGCCAGACAAAATGCTGAAGCTCACTGCCTGTTCCGCAGCCCTGCTCTTGCCACTGGGGAATGAGATGATGTGGTGTGATCTGGCACAGAAGGCATTGGTAATAGCCTGGATGCAGTTATGGGTCAAGGATTGAAAGATCTTACACCGATCCCCAGTGGATCCCTGGCAGGAGCCAGTAGTGTAAATGTTCAATATAACTGCTGGTATAGAATGACCACCCACCCCTTCAAATCCCATTCCAGCAGTTGGCATAGTCTGTTACACTGTCCTGGGACATCCTCAGTCTGTGGTGACATTGTGCCTCACTCATTATCTAGGGTAATGTTTTGGCAGTGTGGGCTTTAAACGGCAACTGGTTTAAATTACATTCAATGAATACATTTGGAACTGAAAGCTAGTTTCAGTAATGGTAACAATGACAGCTATCACTGATTGTTGTAAAAAAAACATATTTAATAATGCCCTTTGGGAGAAGAAATCTGCCATCCTTATCTCATCCAGCCTACATGTGATTCCAGACCCATGGAAAAGTGGTTGACTCCTAATTGCCCTCAGACATGGCGCGGCAAGCCATTGGTTCAAGGCAACTAGGGATGGGCAACAAAAGCT